GCACTGTGGTACCAATCATTTTAAATGACACCCCAGTGGACTAACCAAACCCATATGCATTGCAGTGCCCCACATTGTACATCAACACATCCCTCTTCATTGCTAAAAATGGTGCATGCACCTTTTTCTTGTGCATTCTGCTGTGTTAGGCAGCCCATCAAAGGTAATAGGTTTACACGTTATCGTGTGTTTGTTAATGCAATGTACAGATGTGAATGGGCACTTTTCACATAAACCTCATTTGTTAGTGAATCTGCCATATGAACACTATAGCAGAGGTACAATTTTAGCCATAAAATGCAATTGCGTATGTGCATGTGGTTTAGTAAACCAGGACCATTGCATTGCTTTGTTTATCATTAATAAGCTAGTGTCTTTCTAGATAATGAAATGTAGGTTACACAGATTCTGACATGTTACAGTTTGCCGCATATACAATATGACAGATGTAGGTAGGGCCTTAATCACAGAGGTTGCTGATCTCTGTAGAAACAGGAGGAATTATCATTTTGAAAACCTAACAGCAAGCATCATTTTTCATACTATAGCATCTATATGAGCAGTCTAGGCTTGCCAAGGGTCAATGTTCAACTTTCAAAGAGTTTAGCATACAATCTATACCATAATGAAAGTTTTTATGGATCTATACTGATATAAATATTAAAACCAATACTTGACTTTTACGTTGTAGATGTCTGATTAGATTTTTTTTGAAATGCCAAGGAACTGCAATGTAACAATCTCCTTAAAGACTTTCTCCATACTTAATCAAAAACTTAGGGGTCTATTCACTAAGCTGCCGTAGGCAGCCGAGTGAATGACCGACCTGAAGTGAAGTGAACACTGTTCGGCTATTCACTTCAGGCTGGTACGGCTGATTTTAGCCGTACATTGGCTGAAATCAGCCGTAAATCGGCTTGCTTCGCGTGGCTTCAGGTCGGCCGAACATGCTCAGCAGTACAGAAGTACAGAAGGAGTTCGACTCAGCCGATCCAACATCTGGATCGGCTGAGGCTTCTCACTGCTGTTCGGGCTATTCTTAAAGATGCCGAACAGCAGTGAGTGAATAGCCGAATGCCGCTGAGCGGCATTCGGCTCGGCTGTTCTGCTCTTTTTGGGTCCCTCGGTCCCTGTGGTCCTGGGGCCGCTTCTAGCCGAAGGATCGGCCGAAGCTACGGCCAGATCCTTCGGCAGCTTCGTGAATACACCCCTTCGTTTTATATACATTTGAAAGGGATATTTCCCATCTATATACATTATTTATCTTTTTTTCCCTTTGTTAGGAAAAAGTTCACACATTCTTGGCTTCTATTTTCTTGCTGGTATGCTTGAGCATCTGTGATTATTGTGTGCTGAAGCAGAGATTTAGAAGAGTTATAGCCAGGTTAACCAATGGCTACTGATGGTGGAAAATATGGCCTGGCTATCAAGGCTGTCTCGAAAGAATTACCTAAAGCTCAATCTAAGGCAAACTGAGTAAACCGTTGAAGTGTCGCCTGGATAGCATTGTCAGTTCACTGACTTGCTCTGACTGAAATGCTCTTTAAAGCAGATTAGTAAAGAAAGCACCATGCTTACAGCTTACTTAAACATTCCTTTCCACACAAATTACTTTTTTTTATGTGGGTTAAGTTAGCCTTTAAGAAGGACCGTCATTAAACCAATTGTCATTTATATACTTAATAAACTTAATTATAAATTTATAGGGTTATAATAAGGAACTAAAATTATATATGTTTAAATAGAAAATATAAGTATTGGCCGAAGCTACGGCCAGATCCTTCGGCAGCTTTGTGAATAGACCCCTAAGTTTAAAAGTAATAGTGCCATGTAAGGGGTACTTCCTATTTAGGCACAAGAATCCAATGATTTTATTTGTAAATGTTGTTTCATTTTCTCAACACCTTTTTGCCCGTTATCCATTGGAGATCAGGAACTACACAGCCTGGCTAACAGGGAATTAATTAAATGTGTTTACTTGTGGCATTTTTGTAATGTGAGGCACTAATTAGTATTGATAATTGCAGTGACTAATACAGAACTTGTAACCCCTTGGAGTCTAGCCATTTCCCATTAAATGCGCTTTGTGTCCAAAGCACGTCTGAAAAGTACTTAGCCTGTCATTTATCCTGGTGGCAGCTTTGCTTCTTCAGATAATGATGCACATTCAACAGACTCTCATTTTTAATTTATTTTATCAATGATTAACCCATAGTGTTTCTATTAGAACTCAAGACCATTACATTTATGGTCTCTGTCTGAAACAGGCTAGCAAAATAGTGGTTATTTAAGCAAGAGTTTTAAAAATATAGAGAAGAAAAAAAAAATTGTTTTATACTTTTAAAGTATCTTTTCTTTTCCTTCTCCCAAAAAAGCACACACGCATATACACACACACACATACATATTCACACACTTAACAGGCTGCTTTACGTAAGGGTAGGTGGAGGGCTCTATTTAGAGATCACATGGCTCTTGATGATGCCTTGTTGTACCGACACCTTCCTTTTTGGCAGCAGCCATAGTATGTGGTTATAACTGTTAAAAAGAAAATCAAAACGTGCTATATTTGACATGTCCCTTCAATGTTCACAGCTACAACTGGCCAGTCAGTTTTTACAGTACACTGCCTGCAGAGAAAGGACATGATTATGTGCTACATGAATGACAGAATCTGGTGACACCAAGCAACACTGGGACTTTTAGTTCTGAGAGAGAGACAGAGTCGAAATACATAAGTACCACAAAATTTAGAGTATTATATTTTCCATTCACTGGTGTAAAGATTGAATTCATAAATAGCAGTTCTTATTCTGAGGACCAGTTAATGCAAGCAGTTACATCCCAATATAACAAAAATCACAATGTGACATTTGTTTTGGGAAGAGCCCC